GCAAAATTCCCGTTTGTTAACTGAATCTCGGCAAGCTTTTCACTGAGATCCAGCAAAATAAAATGTCGAGCTGCTCGGTGGTGCCCATCTCGGCAAAAAAAATCTAAGTGTGTAAGTCTGTTATTTAAAATTAGCATCTTCAAACTAAAAAAAAATAGTTTCTTTAAATCAAACAAAGTATATAAAACCTCAACGATGTTTCCTAAACTTGCACAAGTTCCCAATTCTACAAAGCTCAATGAAACTCTCCGAATTTGAAAAAAATCAGAATTTCTACAGTGACAAGTCACTCCGTTCTTTCACTCAGTCCAGAGTATTATTTCCACAAATGAGGATTTATATGCGTTTATAGAGAAAAAATCATTAATAAAACCTTAGCTAGCTAGATAGGGACTTAATTTAAACTAAAATAATAAAACTAAAAGCTTTATAAATAATACAATCCATGCAAATAAATAAATGCCTAATCTAGGTATCATGCAAAATTAATCTAGGAGGCAAAAGACGACTAACGACTAAATTTAAAAAAAAAACACTACACATTGTGAAGGTTTTGTACGCAGCCTCAACAACACGACACACCCACAATACACCCCTAAACGCTGGTATTTTTGGTAGCAGTACTGCCTGATGGGTGGATTTGCCGGTTCTTAAGGATTGCAAGTCTGGAGGCTCGGTCACTTGCTGGAGCACCAGGTTAGCACCCACACCTTAGTTCACGAAGAAAATTTTAGTGAAGGAATGTATTCTCCATAAAACGGTGGAAAGGTTCTACGAAACCTGCCATAAAAAACGGTAAACTGACACAAGTGGACGAAGCGAGACTGACATATCGTAGTCCCGTCGTAGCAGGTGTCGGCAATCGGGGCAATCGGCACAATTGGCGCAAACAGCAAGGAAGGAGACAAAGGATTCGACTAGGCACGGAGACATCTGACGCTTGTGGGCTGAGCGGGCGTAACAAAAAGGATTTTTATAGAAATTTAAAAAAAATCCCTGAGCTTCATCGAACTTCCGCTTCTACAAAATTCGCATAATTTCTCTAAAGTTCGCAAACTTTCAACAATGTGTGATTCATTTTGCAAAACTAACTCCAGGAAGTTTTATAGTTGAGTACTGGCAGTGTATGTGAAGACTAGATTATATTTATCTGATCTTTATAGAAACACTATAAAACTTGCTGGAGTTAATCTAATTAAATCTAGTCTACACATACACAGCCAGTACTCAACTATAAAACTTGCTGAAGTTAGTTTTGAAAAATTCTTTGGAGATCTATTTAATCCACTGAGCTTTTAAAAAACTGAGAGTTCGCCACCTAAACAAAAATCCTGAGTACGGCTGTGCTCTCGCCAATATCGACTTTCAAAAATTTAGCCAAACAGCTATGTAAACCAGCGCCATCTTAACCACCCTTGAGGCCCCTGATCTATTTTTACGGAGGGACCCCATATGATTTGATATCAATTTTCAAATTGCATCCTTTTCCATTTAATTCCTTTATCTAACCTTCTTTCATTTTAACACATATTTACACCAAATAAACTAAATCTGTTTATGACTCCTCATACTTAGCGAATTTGTAAATAGAAGTGTTGATATCAATTTTCATCAATATTTTGTACTTAATATTCATGATCAGTAACCAATTAAGTCTGGTTTACAGCATCCCTCAATTTATGTTTCACTCATTTTAATCTATCTTGAGCAGTTGGTGGTCATCAATGAAATTCATATCTTTTCGATTTACGGTTTAGCGACTTGCAGTCAATTTAATTCTTTATAAGATAGTTTGAACATACTGAGAGGTAAACACATCCCACCGGTGCCCTTAGATTTTTTCGCAAATTCGATTTTATGCAATTTTGATATGCACAGTTCGAAAAGTAGTGTAAATTTCTGTTCAATATGATGCACACAAATGGAGCGTCATATTTCATATAAGTTTACATTATATATCATGTAAAGTTCTAGCACAATTCATGCAATGTAGCAAATATTGTATACAAACCCCATCTTTGTAAACAATATTGTTTACAAGTTGCTCGGTTGTGTGAAATTAAATTTAAGTTTACGTGAATGAATGTTTACATCACAATTAAAATTCAGAATTTTTATCTGTGTGTGCTTACCTCTCAGTATGTTCAAATCAAGGAGGTGGCACCCCTATCTCTACAAATAACAAGTAGTCGTAGCGAGCATAGGTGCGGGCCCACGCTCTGGGCCCACTTGGTTTGATATGGATTCACGTTTTTTATGCTGGCTATGAAAAGAAGGTGGCGTGTCAGGCCCTTGGTTCAAACTATCTTAGAAATAAATATCCTGAGCATTATTTCTACATTTGGGAAAAGCAATTTCCCAAATAGCAATTTTGGTTCTATGACAGCCTTGTTACCCATGATTTGGTCTTATATAATGCTTTAAAACTTTGATAAAACATGCAATACTACTTGGGATTAGTCCATGAAAGTTTTTATTATTCTTATCATGTTGTCAACTTGTATGATTCAATGTTTCAAGTTTTCAAAGCTTTAGTGTTCGATACAAATACAAAACTAATCAACGATTAATTTCTTGAAACATATCTCCCCCCAGCAGGCCTGGGTTCAATCCAAGTCGGCGCCACCGAGATGTTCTGAGGCATAACATCTTTGATCAGGGAAGTAAAGCCGTTGGTCGCCGGTTCATGAGATGATTGGTCGATAGGTAGGGTCCAGATGTGGGAGCTGCCTTCTTGGCGTCGGTAGCATTGGTGCTCAGTACGGAAAATAAGATCGACGGAAAACAAATCAAGGGAAAAAAAGAACCCGCAGAAAATCCTTTTTTGCTTCCGAACTCTCGCCTACGCTCACAAAATGATATAAAACACACTACTGCGCCACAGAAAAGAGTAATAGGGGAAATAGCTCTAATGTTGGCCTATGGATCGAAGATTGGGCCCATCGCCAAAAATCTGCTATTTATGCTAATGGATATTTTTGATCTCTATTGAAAACTTAGTCGATTGCTGAATTTATGTATGGGTTCAAATTAGGGGCATTTAGGCCGACATTACATCCATTTCCCCTATATGAATTGTATCCTGAAAGTGTATTGTTTTTAATACTTGTCCACGTAGTCTCATTGAATACTCAGTAATATTCTGGCCTTGTGACATAGTTCAGGGCGTTCGACCAACTATGCTAGTTAATCGGGAGTATTTGATGAAGCTGTAGTCTCATAAGACCTAATAGAGTATATTAAAAAGGGACGCAAGAACTTAAAAAAATAGTCAGATTTTAAGATTCTAAGTGTGACAGGACAGTGTCTGTAAGCATGCATTACAATCAACAAACTTAACAACGTCTATAATTGCTGAGTGTATGAAAAGTTCACTCCACGGCCAGTATTCACAGTAGCCATGGTTACAATACCAAACCATATTCTGTACTAGCTTGTGAAAAGCAAATGAATTGAGTCAAGGCTGCCAGTTGCCGATGAAAACGACGATTTGGGGTGTAATTATTTTTGCTCCGGTGATCGGATTTCTTCTAGACTGATCTCACTGAGGACACAAAGGGTTCTCCGGAAATACATGCCAAAACGTTCGTTTGGAATCTGGTTTGGCGTTGAGCAAGTATCAAGGTGCAAACTTTGAACGTTGTAGAGATCGGAAACTGAGAATAGAAAGATACCCGAGAATCTCAAAGGTCCAGTGGAATTTTCATTTTAATAGTGCTCACAAACTACACAATAAATCCTTTGAAGATAAATCCCAAAATGTTCGTTTAGGATCTGACTAGGTGGTCCAAAAGTATCTAAGTACTAATTATAACCATTTTAGAGAACGGAAACCGAGAATCGGAAGACTCCCGAAAATCGATTTTCACGCTCCGGTGGAATTTAGATTTAAAATTGAAAACGTTAAAGATGTATCCTTAAATTGTAGTTGTCCGCTATCAAGCATCTCCTTTAGCATCTGTAGCGCCAATGCATATCATTAAAAATCTCCAGATCAACTTCAACCAATCGACACAACAAATACGATCGAATTGGTCATACCGGAAATAAGAAACATCTTCTCAATTGCAAAATTCTAATTTTAACGCTATTATAACATCATCATCTTCAAATGACATCATCAGATAACAGTCAACAAAACAAACTTCAGGATATATTTCCAGATCAGCTTTCGGACCCGTTTTATGTCGGTTCATCTACCTGCTACACAATAGTCACGGTCATCTGTCCAAACATTGGGTTTCAATCACATCGACGGTAATAATATAGGTATCCGCCAAAACAAAGATCCGAAATAAATGCCAATAAAACAAGTTGACAAATGCTTCAGGCTGCAGATTTGGAAGTTCCCCCCGATGTCGAAGCACAATTATTAACTGGATACCGGATTCGATACGCCTGAGGCCCAAAACAAACCCCACACTAGACAAACTGACCGAGGAAGCAATTATTGAATGTTCTTGTTTGAATCTAACGTGATGTTGTTTGCACCACCATTCTTTGGGAGGTATTCTAAATAAACATAGGTGTGCAATGCTCGTACAAGTTTTGAGATCACTCAACGTCAGACATTTCTCCTCTTTTTCCGCAATTGCACTCCTGAGTACCAGAGCTCTTGACTTGCCTCCCAACAACCTATCGCTATCACCTTCATTCACATCGCACTATGCTGGGTGCGCACTTCAACAACCCCCAAACCCACTCGAACTCACTCTCCGAGTTCCGACCGACACTCGTACAAGCGTTACCTCCCCTTCTGAGGAGCCCAGACAGCGCCGAGACAGAGTGGGCTCCAAAATTGCGAGCCATATAAAAGCGTGATTCTCGCCGGATGCTCTCTTGCGTTTACTAAAGAAGTTCGGCGCCGATTCGGACGCCGCTAGCAGTGTGTAACTGCAGCAACAGAGACAATCGCAATCTTTTTCCTTTTTCCTTCTGGTGTACCGTGTGTGTGTGTGAGCTGTGATTCGCCCTCACCACCAGAAAAGCCACTCCGCTCTGCACCGCTCACGGTTTTCACTCACTGCGGACCGAACCCGAACGACCCCCGGTGAATCGCGCGGTTGATCCAAAAAGGCAGCCCTAGTAGCCAACCAGTGCCAGTGTGCTTTCAGTGTGATTCAGTGCCTCAACAACGTCTTCGCCAGCATCACGCTCTCCAAGAGGAGACAGAACGATACGCTTGGAGACGGCGACGCTCCTTTCAGCAAAGAAAAGGATATTTTCCATCTCGAACCAACGACCAGTGTGTGAACGGTTAAAACGCCCCACAGCTACCGAGTGAATGTGTGATTAAGTGTTCGGTGATCGCAAAGATTGCGGGATTCCGGGAGGTTTTTTTTTTTTTCTTTTGAAGATTTGAACCATAGAAAATAAGAACAACCAGACTGGGAAGATCGACGAGAAGTTTGGTTCGTGGATTTTTTTTCCCGTAGTGTTAAGGTTGTTGCTGGTTTTCCGGGCAAGTCCCGCGTTTTAATTCTTCGCGAGCTGTGCAGTAAACAATACGCAGCACGGTAGCAAACACACTCGTACACATCCAGCGGTGGAAAATATGGTGAAATTGTTAGCCTTAATAGGCGTCCTGGCACTTGTGGCTTCGGGTGAGTACTGGAACCTATTTTAAGCGGGTGCGTGCGTGAGTCAGTGTGTGGGAATGTGTGCGCGTTATGTAAGATGTGTGATTGGAAATGCGAGAGTTCTCGGTGGTTGCATTACGCAGTGATTGGAGCAAACGGAGGCAGGAATACAGGTGGTGACATCAAAGGGGTTGCAGCGACGAACTTAGATTTGTTGTTGTTTTTTTTTTTTAATACAGTCAAATTTTGGAATCGAACCCTTTAAAATTATATTTAGCTTAAAAATATATGTTACGGAAAATCGTACCTTGAAAATAAATTTTTATTACTTAGCTTCAACTTCGATACGGCAAATATAGAGTTGTTGATAGACATATAGCAGATTCAATTAATTTTATTCGAAACATGTTCTTGTTTTAGCCCTCTATTCAATAATGTTGATAAACAATACGAACATGTAAAGGTAACGAGTGATTTTTAATCAAATTGGAATTCAGCCGAACACCTTTACCCAAAACCTAAAACATATACTCTAAATTATGCTTTTACGTGATTTTGCCAGCACAGCATGATTTTTTGGTGATTTTTTAAAACAAGTTGCATTAAATTTGGTTGAAATTCAAGATTACACGATCAAAACTACACCGTTTGAAGAATTCATGTTAATTTCTGCGAGAAATAGCGCACATAAAATTAACGCTAGATTTGGCATAAATTTACGCGATATTTCGTGTAAATTTAAGCGCAATATTGCATAAATTAGCAATATTGTATACAAGCTTGTAAACGATTTCGTTCTTTATGCCAAGTATAGCTCAAAATTAAACGAAGGGAGATTTTACGCGATAGTTAAAATTCAGAATTTTTTTCTGTGTAGAGGCGAAACAACATAAATAACATACTTATACCTTCAAAAGTGGAGGTCATATAAATCGTTTGAAAAATTCATCTAAATTTCTGCCATTTATAGCGCACACGTAGTTAATGATAAATTCGCCATAAGATTACACGATATATCATGTAACTTTAAGCGCAATATCTCTTAAATCAGCAATGTTGTATACAAGCTTGAAGCTTGTAGCAATATTTAATACAAGCTTGTTCATTATTTACGCAAACTATAGCTCAAATTTAAACTGGTGGAGATTTTAAGTAATGGTAAAAATTTAAAATTACTTTGTGATCGATTCATTTGTTATCATAGGTGACTTAATCTATTAGAATAAATTCAGTTTGTCTTATTTATCTTTTTAGTTTGGCAGATTTATCTGATTTAATTTGTACTCTTGTACGATGCAAAAATAATTTATCGTATTTAGGTCAACATTTTGCATTATATACGATGTAAAATAACATTGTGCGATGAAACCCTTTCCTCTATACGATTTTGACTCAATCTGTATTATTTTACGATTATATCGACTTCTCGTTGTCTGGATCATCAAACATGATCGAATATCAATGAACTGTAATTAAATCATGTTTTTTAGACTATACAAAAATCAGCTTATTATTGATTTTAACTATAAATTACAGATACAATCAACTCTCTCTAATTCGATAATGAAAGAAGCACCAAATTACAGATAATTTCGAGTTTTGGAGGTAAATTTTTTAAAATTTTAATAGTCTAATTTTCCATCGATTTAGAGAAATCATCGAGTTAAAAAAGAGAAAGCGAGAGTAGACTGTGTCAACCGAAACTACCGAAAAGGAAGTATTCAATCTCAAATACGGGAACCTTCCAAATTATATTCAACTTCCTTAATAATTTGAATTATGCAATTAGGAGCCAAATTAGTATTCGTGACCTTCTCTCCCATACAAAGTAGACCATTCCAATCTACAATGGTGTTTCAGAATGTATAAAAAAAAAATCCGGCTTATACGTAAAAAAATAGGAATCAAAGAGTTAATTTTAATTTTCTACGGAAACGATATAATTTGTTGATTTTTAAGTGGTCAGCTGTGTGTCTCGTTAATAATCACAAAAATAACCTTGCATTTATTTTTAATCATGTGATTGGTACTTATGAACAAGTGGCCAAACCTAACAAGAAGCTTCGGTAATTTTCTCCGGTTTATTCAATCCATGTTCGGCAGTTACTAATGTTATCCTGAGCACTCAGCGACCGCCAACATACTTGTCAGGTGCATCACGTGATGGATTTTGACTCAGTCAAAATGTTTGCCACTTTACTGGAGGCATCCACGGATGTAGCCACTGTGATGAGGGCACTAAGGTGCTTCATATTGGGAAAAAAAATGTTTGCAATCATGGAAGCCACCCTCCATTTCGATTTATAGCCCAACAATATGAGCCTAGGAAAAATGGAAAATATTTAGAATGGTTTTAAGAGCCGCACAAATGGATCGAAGTTTGTATGACAATTTTGAGAAATCTCCCTGGATTTGAAAAATACCGCTTCAAATGCTGAATTTTTTTAATATGTTTAATATGTTGCTATGAGAATGATGAAGAAGTTTGTCTTTGTTGTAATGAAATTGGTAAAGTTGACGAACACATATTCAACCCACAACTTACCCTATTTTAACATTTTTACACATTCCCATCTCTATTGAATTGATCAAGCAATTGAATTACCACCAAACTAAGCATAAAGGCCCAAGCGCAATGACAGCGGCAGTGGAAAAGCCCGATCGGAGTAAGCCTATTTGACGGACTGAAAACTAGTTAGAACCAAATCGGCTTCGGTTAGGCATCTTGTTGTCATTTGTGAAAACTGTCAAACTTTCCGCTTCCGTTCCGCTTCCGCCCACATTGCGTTTGGGCCTTAACAAGAACAGGCTCGTAAATTATTGTTGCAGCTAAAACAACTTTGGACGGCATTTAAGCGGCTAGAATCAATGTTAGACCAATATTAATGAAGTTTGAGAATCTCTCACAGTAATCCCCTTACAGACTTTAAACCTTTTTGCGTGATTCCGAAATCTTTATCAATCTTGACCATGTTTTGGAGTTATGATTTGAAGCCATCTCAAAAAACAATATGAGCTGATTTTAAGCTGGATCATCCATTTTTTAGCTGAAGAAAAATATTTTTGCCTGAATAGACACTTATGCAGCATTCAATGTTTGTTGAGATGTTTGCCATGATGCACCTTACTGGGCACTCATTGCGAATTTGAATTTCCAGCTGATTAATTATGTGCTTTGGCTCATGGCACATTTTGTTCACTTCTTCGGGGTCATCCAGAACGTCTCCGACTGTGACCAACGAGATAACGGGCGCTCAATATAACCACCATTAATCCAGTCGTTGAAAGTTACTGTCAGTTGATGAGTCACAGAAAGCCGATTGGCACAAATCAAATATTGGCCACTTCCTAGGAAGAACAAACTTAATGCCTCCCCAACATCAGATGTTCAATCCGGATGAAAAAAAATGGTGTCCAATATCATCTGAAAATGAAAAAAATAAAAAATAATGGGGCAAAAATTGGATAACTCATCTTAAAGAAAAGTGGATGAGTTTAAAAAAATGCAACTACACCCACACGAACCGATATTTCTGAGATCATCTGGGTCTTCGGTCGATATTGGAGTACAATTATAGCCAATCTTTTTTGGTCTCCGACTGTTGGTTAATGTTCTACTAAGGTTTTAGTTACACAGTCTGGAAAAATTCAATCGAAGGTTTTTTTTAACTGTCCCAAAACAGTCCACTTTAGTTGCATCCGAAGTAATTATGGAATTACGAGTCCAGCCTTCCCTTAGGAAATCTTTTGCTTGTTTTTTGATAAGTTTGCAAACCGTTTTCTCGTTTGAAAGATTAATCGATGAACATGCTACCCTAGCTGTTAGTAATGTTTCACTCGACGGTCAAACACTGGATGCAAATGATATTAGTGGTGAGACGATTTCAGCAACTGAAGTCGGTTTTCAGCCCAGAACCGGATCGTGTTCCCTCACAAACATCAAATTGTTGATACCGATGCACCTTAAACTTTTGAAAACACTCCTTTATTGCGTAGGGTGTGGCCCATTTGGAATTGGAACATACACAATTGCGCATATTTCAGATATAGATTAACATATTACACAGCAAAAAATAAATTTTATATTACATCCGAGAGGATGCATTTCTTTTTTTTTTATTAATGCGTTTATTTTTCCAGGCTCATTTGCCGTAGCTTTGCGGAGCCGATATTCATCGTTTGGGTACAAAATTACTTAAAACTAACGTTAGTAAAGCGGGGGCCGATTACTCGCGGCTTTCTCGAGGTTAGGGGTAACAAATTGTAACAAACGGGTGGCAGGGTAGGGATTGAGAACACAAGGTTTTTTAGAGCAATGTGCTCTTGATCTAGAACTAAGCGACATACTGGAGAAAAAGACAAACATGGGGGTACACCGATGGAGACCTAGCAACTTGAGAGAACACAAGATGACACTAACTACTAAATCCTCAGATCGATCCGTTTTAAAAACACATAAATTAAATTGAAATAATCGGGATCTCGGCTCGCCAAGATGTCTCTAACGGGCCGCATAGGTTGTTTTCCTCGGGCCCTGAGGGATGCGGATAACTCGGATCTAGCAACACAATGGAGGGTGCATGACCAAAGCACGTGGTCGATATCGTGATAGCCACTACCACAAGCGCACAAATTGCTGCCTGCGAGCCCGATTCGGAAGAAATGCGAGTCTAACGAGTAGTGATTGGACATGAGCCTTGATATAACGCGAATAAAGTCGCGGCTCATGTCCAACCCTTTGAACCATGGTTTGTTCGACACCTGTGGGAGAATAGAATGTAACCATCTTCCCAGATCACTCTCATTCCATTTTTGTTGCCAGTTGGTGAGGACGTGCTGACGGGTAATTGAAAAAAAATCCGCAAAGGCGATTTGTCGATCAAAAATATCGCCTTCCATAGCGCCCACCTTAGCTAGCGAGTCCGCTTTCTCATTACCCGGAATTGAGCAATGAGATGGGACCCAAACTAAGGTGATAGTATAGGAGCAGTTAGATAAAGTACTCAATTTAGCTCGGATTTCGG